CTGAGATTTTAGGATAAAATGTGGTTTGCTTCTTCCTGACTTCCTTACTTGTAGCTTATTGTTCAACCCTCTGAAGTCTCCTGATTCAATTCGAATTCACAAAAATTTCTTGGAAAATATTGCCCGCACTCTATTTGTCCTTTTTGCTTTCTAATAAATAATTTTGTCTATAAATGTCTACCTTTTATACACACTCATGTGTTTACTCTGTGCCCAGATGCTGTTCAAGCACTTAAATGTCAACTCATTTAATTCTCCTAGCAACTTTATGATGGAGGTATCATTATTTAAAGATTTTCTTTAGTAGCATCCTACACATTTAGATATAATTATTATAATTTCTTTAATTATTATTCAATTATAAATATCTTTAATTCTCATAATCATAGTATTCTTTAAGCCATGATTGAGAAGACAATTTTAGTTTCTAAAATATATGCTTTTGTTTCTCTTTTAAAATAAGTCATTGTTCAAATCTGTTAATACTTTCCATATCTGTAATAGTGTTGTAAGATAAGTTTTTATTCCTGAGAAAGCTGAGCTATAATACTCTGTTTATGTATTTTAAATTTTCTTCTTGAAATCTGAACAGTTTTTATATGATTTGTTTTATACACTGTCACTAGATATAACTTATGATATACAATATTGTGGTTCATATTTTTTCACTATTTTATTTTCAATCTTTCCTTTTAAAAAATATCTAACTTGATTTTTTTTAAAAAAATAGTTGAGCTTTGTTTATTTACCATTATTGGGAATTCTGATATGTTTAAATAATATTTAACTTCTTATTTGTATTTTTTGTTTACTACACTTTACACTTTTTTTTTGCTTCTGTTCCTCTCCCTGCCCTCCCCCATCCTGTCTTCTCTTAATGTACTTGCTTTATTCCTGATATTATGCAATTTTCCTACCTTGTTTCCTTATGTGTAAAGATGAATTTTTAAAAATACTTCTAAGTAGTTGCAGTGTATATTTATTACCAGGACTAATATTTCTTAAATTGTGTAAATTTCTCATCAGCTGTAATTTTTCAAATATTTATTTTCTGGTATTCCTTCCGTTATATTTTACTCAACTGTTATAAAACTTTTTGTGGATACTATATTCTATTCTCATTATATTTTTCTTTTTAAAAAACGACTTTTTAAAAAACAGTTTCAGATTTACAGAAATATTTTGAAGAGAGTACAGAGAGTTCCCATGTATTGCACACTCAGTTTCCCCTTTTATTAAGATCTTATGTTAATATGGCAATTTGTTGCAATTAGTGAACCAATGTTAATATATTATTACTAACTAAAGTCAATAGTTATTTAAGATTTTCTCATTTTTACCTAATGTCTTTTTCTGTTCCAGGAACTTATTCGAATATTCAACATACCACATTATATTTGTCATGTCTCCTTAGGCTCCTATTGGCTATGACATTTTCTCAGTTTTTCCTTTTTCCTTTTTTTGTGACCTTACAGTTTTGATGACTACTGCTCATGTATTTTGTAGGATGTTTCTCTGTCAGAAAATATCTGATCTTTTTATCATGATTAGACTGGGGTTATGGGTATTGGAAGGAAGACCAGAGAAGTAAAGTGCCATTTTCATCACATCACATCAAAAAGGACATACTACTACATGACTGAATAGAAAATCACATTTTTTTTTTCAAATGTAAAAAGATTGTTTACTATATGCCAGACACTATGCAAAACTTGTAACATGAATTATCCCAACTAATCCTCATGACGGTCCCACAAGCCAGATATCATTATTTCCCCAGTTTAACAAGTAAGGAAGTGGTGCCTAAGGTCATACAGCTGGTAAGTAAAGGAGTCAGCATTCGAGCACAGGAAATGGGCTCAAAAGAGCCCTGGCATTTACCACACAGTACCTCCTGCATGTAACAGGACATCCAAGTTTTCACCTTAGAAATAAGTGATTAGAACATAGCAATGAGTGGAGAATACCAACCAATAAATTGAGTTAATGGCTCAAATGCTTTAGGGATGTGGGGTGGGGCAGAATTCTGCCTGTATTGGAACCTGGAAAAAGCCAACAGCCAGACATCTGAAAATGTGAAAATGATTTTTTTTGTCTTCGGAAAGGAAGTCACACTGACAGAAATGTAGAGCATTCACAGGACAGACCTGTTTAGGCTCATTAGCTATAAAGGATCCCTAAGGATAACTAGATGACAATGACAAGTCAATCCAATAAGTGATCATTGAGAGCCTATTGTGTGATAGTTCTATGAAAATCATGTCTCATAATGGCTATTCTGTAGTCCCACTTTGTTGTGAGATTTTAATATTGTACATCCATTCACAAAACCAAAGGGTGAGTTGGTTCAATTCTTGTTAACAAGTCTCTGTGAACTCTTGTCACTATAATCATGCCTCTAGTGATAAGTTATAAATCCAGGAAGCTAGCTAATAATAGCTCTCAAGAAGACAGCTCTCATCTTCTGTTTTGTGTGGATTAAGTTCCAGGTTTGTCTGAGGTGCCATTACTGCGTAGTAGCA